TCCCGCCGGCCTTGCAGGTCCACCCACCGGGCCCCTCATGGGGCTCGGCAGTGGAGCTGCAAGGCCGGCGGCGGTGGCCGGGACCGTTGGGGGCGGGGTGTGTGGCCTTATGACACACTTCCAGTGATGTCAGGGGGTGTGGCCTTATGACACACTTCCGGTGATGTCAGGGGGTGTGGCATATGCTAATGAGTTATGCTAATGAGTTCCCCGAGCTCTTTTTCTACGAAACGACCCCTGTGTGTATGTATCTACGGGACCGTCTTCTCCGGTATGCCCCCGGGGAGAGCCTTGTACTCTTTGAACAACAACCTGCCGGTGATCCCTGGCCCTAGAGATGTCTGGCTGTCCCTCGTCCGGGGCTGGGGCGTCCTCGGTCCTGCCCCCGACCTGGTGGGACTCTCTGTCAAATGACATCAGGGCCCTGCGGGATCTTATGCCATCCCCCGGGCCCTGTAAGACAGAGATGTTCCGCCAGTCCCTCAGGTACACTGGTGTCCCTTTTCCTATGTAGAATGGGAAGTAATGCCTTCCCCCCCCCCCCCCCCCCGCTTTGCTGCTCCGAGTTCCCATTCCCCTTGCCCGGCAAAGGGGCCTCTAATCCGGAACTGGGACAAACAAAATGATCTTAGGTGTTTTGTTCCTGCATTGAAATTTTTATTATATATTGAATTCTACTGTTCTTGTATATTTTATGGCATCGTACCTGGTACATCACCCAAGGCTCGGTGTAAGCTGGGAGAGGGTGATTAATAATAATAACAATAACAGTAGTAATAATAATGGGTTCCACCTCCCGGAGCAGGCACTCTGTGCCTGGCTCCACCTCCCCTGGTGGCCACTCCGTGGTTGCGCCTCCCCCCTTTTCTCAGAATTCCAAAGGCACCCACAGGCTACACAAAGTCGGGGACCCCCGCGCTAGAATCTGGGGTACCTGCATCAGCTCCTCGATGCGCTTCTCCAGAGGCCCTGGCAGCCCCTCGGGGAGGGCGAGGGGCTGCTTGACATCTTGCTCCAGGGCCACCCCGAGGGGGTCACTCCCGTCCTCCACGTCCTGGAAGGGGTTCTCCTCCGGGGAGTCGTTGAGCAGCTGCTCCAGGTCCAGATCCGTCAGGGAGTCCATGGCGCTGGCCGCCTGGAGTAGCTCGTTGTCGCTGGTGTGGCCAAAGAGGGAGAGGAGGGGGTCGGACACGCTCTCTGCCTCCCGTGGAGCTGGGGCTTCGGCCAGGGCTGGGACGGCCACGCTCGGCTCCTCGTCCCTCTTGCTCTGGGCGTCTTTCTCCTTTTGGAATTTCTTTAGCATCTCCTTGACGCTTAGGGCCCCTGAATATTTCTTCTTCTTCTTCTCTTTGCTCGCGTTCAGGGCTGTGAAACTAGAAAGAGGACACGGCATTAGGGCGCTTGCAGGGGAGGGAACGGGCCAAGGCAGAGGCAAGATTCCCAGTTCCTTGTCCGCTCATCTCTTAAGACTAGTTTCAGAGAGCAGCTGCATTGGTCGGCGGTACAACCACCACTGTTAGCTGAGTTAGTGTGAGGTAGCTCACAGTTTTTTTAGCCTCCAGCTCACACATTTTAGTTTTAGCTCAGGAAGGGATGGCTCCAGAGCAAACTAATTCATGCAGTAGCCAAATCGCTCACTCACAACTTTAAGTAAGTTGCTCAGAAGAAGAAGAAAAAGAAGAAAAGATTGGATTTATACCCCGCCCTTCACTACCCAAAGGAGTCTCGGAGCGGCTTACAAACTCCTTTCCCTTTCCCTCCCCACAACAGACACCCTGTGAGGTAGGTGGGGCTGAGAGCTCTGACAGAAACTGCTTTTTTCCCCAAGGACATCTCTTATCAGAACTATGGCTTGCCCAAGGTCATCCAGCAGGTGCAAGTGGAGGAGTGGGGAATCAAACCCGGTTCTCCCAGATTAGAGTCCGCACACTTGACCACTACACCAAACTGGCTCCACAGCTTAGAGGGAGCATTGACAAAAACTCAGAAAGCTCTAACAAAGGGAGCCTTGATTCTCAAAATCTCATGTCCAAAAAACTCTTGTCGGTTCCTAAAATACTACTGAGTTCAAATCTGGCTGTTCATCTCCTAGGCCAGACCTTTTGGTATGTTGCTTATGTCATTCAGAACTATCAGAGATCCCTTTAATAGCAGACTGGCTCGCCCCCATGTAGGTACTGAAAGCTGCACAGCAGAGCCATCTACAAAGCAGGCGGGGGAGGGTCTCTTATCTACTTGGGGGACGGCACAGAAATATACCAAGAAAGATTCTGCAAGTTACTCAAAAGGGGAAAGACTCCCTCAAAAGTTTCTGTTGCTTTCTTTCACGTCTGCATCAACGCCGTAAAGTCAAGAAGCACAGAAAAATGAAACGCCTATTTCCATCATTTGAAAAAGAAAACCATCACATTTTGCTCCCCGGGGAAGAGCCGCTGTTGTCTTCCACCTGTCCCCACTGGACGTGCAACACAGACCACACGAGCAAGTTGCCGGTGCAAGGCCATCCTTGCACAAGTAGAATGGCCGCCGGAACATCTGAACTGGTTTCGGCACTCAAGTACTTCCCGTCAGCTCACTTATTAGGAAACACTCCGATCTCCTTTACTCCCACCTTTTCCTACTAGCTATGTCACTTGGTGGAGACCAAGGGCTGTTTCACATTCTTATTTGCTTTGCTTATGTGTCCCTATTTTTGCTCCCTCCAGCAGTCATTTCGCTATTACACTGCTGTAGATCTGGCATAAATGTGCTCTGCTCCCTCTAGTGGTAGATTCGATATTACATCGCTGTATGTAACCTGCAGTTTTTGAGACCGGACACAAGAGTGATGTAATATCGAATTGACCACTACAGGGAGTAAAACACATGCAGATTCCACCCCCACCCCCAAGCTATAGCAACACACAAGTAGTAGGAGAAGATTGGATTTATACCTCGCCCTTCACTACCCAAAGGTGTCTCAGAGCGGCTTACAAACTCCTTTCCCTTCCCCTCCCCACAACAGACACCCTGTGAAGTAGGTGGGGCTGAGAGAATTCTGACAGAAACTACTCTTTTTTTCAAGAACAGCTGTGCCAGAATTATGGTTTGCCCAAGGTCATCCAGCCAGGTGCAAGTGGAGGAGTGGAGAATCAAACCCGGTTCTCCCAGATTAGAGACCACGCACTTAACCACTAGACCAAACAGAAAGCAGAAGAGTCCCAAGACTGCTCTAGGCAGATATCATGGTTACAAAGAGGAGCTGCGCTTCTGTTCCCCCACCTCACCTTCCAGTCAAACCTGCTCTTCTCATTGTGTTTTTAAAAACCCTCGCCATCTGTCCTAGCTGGAAGAAGGACGACACACCTACTGCTGAAACAGCTGCTTTCGTACAAAATGGCAGCCTCTTACCCGGTTTTGGGGAACTTGGATTTTTTAGATTTCTTTTCCTTGTCGTAAGAATCATCTTTCTTCTTCTTTTTCATCTTCTCGCCCCCTTCTTTTAACTTCCGCTTCTGTGAATTCGAGAAATGCTGGGAATCAGATGGATGACCAGCGTAGCCCCGAAAGGCTATTCATGTGGACCTTTGCTATTAAGAGACTAACTTCCATGTCAGAAGAAGGGGAAAGGTGTAGCAACAATCACATGCACAGGACAGCCATACTAACACAACAAATCTTGGCACACAGGACATATGAAAGAAAAACATATTCTCCCATATCTCCCCAAATACAGAACGTGATGAGGAATGTGGGCAATTAAAGCGGCTGCCCTCCAGTTTTGATTTTGCAAACTGTCACGGAAGAGGGCCAGCGGTTCAGCACCAAACCTCTACTTCACGATTTGTTCAGAGGACATTGATAAACTTTACGCCTTCTATAGCAACCGTGCGCTTTGCCTGTATTTGCCTTCTCCCCGTCTGTATGTTGGACACAATGCTATATGCGGCTAGGCTATCTATAGCATCTTGCTGGAAAGATATCTCCCCCCCTAACATTCAAACTTGGTACAAGAAGCTGTGGAATCAGTTCATTATGGAAAGCATCACTGATAAAGTTAACAGAAATAAAAGGAACGTCGTACATTTTGGGTTCGAAGCCAAATGGTTGCCAATTTTAGAAGCTCTATCAGACAAAAAATTTATTTCAGCATCCTGGGATAACTATGTTAAATGGTTGTGAGGATTTTTTTTTTTTTATGGTTCAAATAAAGTACAGTAAGTAGGCTTTGGTAAAACTTGAATTGTGGGTAGTACTTTGTGTTTAATATGGTTAGATATATCATTGAAGGTCTACAGATATTCTTGAGAGCAGAAGACACTTGGTTGTATCTAAGGCAACAAACAGTACAGGCATCAATTACAAATTGAGGCTAAAATAAGTCACTTTGTTCAAAGATTTATTGAAGAATGTATCATTCTTTAAAGCTTACTTTTTTGTAATTAGTGTGTTGGTTTGAATGTATAACTGTTCTTATGACCTTTATGTATATTTTTATTGTTATATTCGTTTTATTGTTTTAATCCTACCAATAAAATGTTAATGAGGATCTTAAAAAAAAAAAAAAAAGAGGGCTGCTTGCCCATTCACAGCCCAATCTCACCCATTTGCATGTTTACCTGGAAGTATGCCTCGCTGAAGTCAGTGGGTCTGACTCCCAAGTGATCACGCTGAAGCCCTGTTTTCCCACGCCAGCATACTGAGCAGTAAAGCCCTGCCGAACCCGGCAGACTTTGCTCCCGAGCAGATGTGTCCAGGGCCAGGCTGCGAGTTTTATTTATTTGGTGTTCTATATCCCGCTCTCCCCACCCCCTCCTCATGGTCAGACTCTTCCCCAAACGGGCTGCTAAAAATAAAAGTTACAAGAAAAAAAATACTACACTGCACATTACGCTGTTCAGAAACCTCACAGGGGAGACTTGGTTAGTAAGACAGCAGGGCTGGGAGCGTGCGGAGAAACTTAATCCCAAACCTTTGGCGACTTCTTCTTTTTCTCTTTAATATAGTCATCCTCTGACTCTGAGGCCTGCCGGAACTGCAGGGTCCCGGAGTTGATGTAAAACCCGCCATACTTGGTTGTTAGAGAGGCCGGAACGAGCTCATCGTACTGGAGACAGAGAGAGAGAGAGAGAGAGAGAGGATGCTCTTGCAATGTTTCTCTGGGCGCAGAAGCTCAGCAAAGACTAGCTGGCTACAGGCCGGGCCTCAAATCACTTGCAATGTCACTGAATGCCAGTTCTTACACATGCATCGTATTTGTGCAACGATGAACCTGAGGTAGCCTTCTCTCGGCTCTCCTAACTAGACCCTAGAGCCCCTGAGGTCAGTGCCAACCAGTGTTCCCTCTAAACTGAGTTCGTGTGAGCTAGCTCACAGTTTTCTAGCCTCCGGCTCACACCCATTTTTGTCTTGGCTCAGGAAGGATGGTTCCACTGCAAACTAATTGATGCAGCGGCCAAATCGCTCGCTCACAACTTTAATGCCGGCAGCTCACAAAGGAGAATTTTTGCTCACAAGACTCCACAGCTTAGGGGTTTGTCTCATTCCCCCCCCTCCGCCCCCGCTCTCAATTCTGCGGAAACAGCTCCTGTCCCCAGATCTATTTTTATATCCAGGCATGTTACGTTGTGATGCCAAGAGCAAGAAAATGAAAGAACAAGCTCTAAGCACGTGGCGAAATTTCCTCCTTGCGGGCACTGGGTTCCGCTAGCTCGTGGCAGGAGGCGAGCTGCAATTCCAGCCCACGCAGAACCAAGATCCAAGTAGATTCTGCACGGCAGATGAACGGGCTGGGAAAACCGCCTCTACCTGGAACTCCCCCTGCCGCTAGAGCAGACAGTCCCGATGCCTGCCTTGGGGGGGGGGGGGCTTTGCTGTTGGAAGTCCGAGGCCTCCACTCGCTACTCACGGCTTCCGAGTTGTCGATGAAGGAGTCGGATTCGTCGTAGCCGTATCCCATGTCGATCAGGTCCTGGATGCGGTCTTTCCTGCGCTTCTTCCCGCCCTGAAACCGAGACAGGCCAGCCTTTACCGGTGGATGCTGCACGGAACAAAGCGAGCTAGAATTCACGCTGCTGTGAAATGTGCTTTCCCCGAATCCCAGGCTGCTGCCCGAGACCGTTGTGTGCACCCAAAACAGGAATTCTGGGACAACACTGTCCACCCAACCCTTTCCCATCCCATTCTAGGATTGCTCAGTTTTGTCCCTCAGTGTCAAACTCCTTCATGGTGCAGGAACAGGTGATTTCACGATTTATGCCAGGGGGGCCGAACTCGTTTGTTATGAGGGCCGGATCTGACATAAATGAGACCTTGTGTGTCATAAAAGGTAACGCCAGGTAGCGGAGAGACAAGCTTTATAAAGGACACAAACACAAACGGGTGGGTGGTGTTTTTTTTAACTTAAAATAAAAACATGCTTAAAACATTAGCTCTGTGAGCTGCAAACCTAAAGGTAAAGGTACCCTTGCTTGAAAAAATCCGACTCTAGGGTTGCGGCGCTCACCTCCGTTTCAAAGCCGAAGAGCCAGCGCTGTCCGAAGACGTTTCCGTGGTCATGTGGCCGGCATGACTAAACACCAAGGCGCACGGAACACTGCTACCTTCCCACCGAAGTGGTACCTATTTATCTACTTGCAATTTCTTGCTTTCGAACTGCTAGGTTGGCAGGAGCTGGAACTAGAGACGGGAGCTCACTCCGTCATGCGGCACCCAGGTCTCGAACTGCTGAACTGCCGACTTTCCATAGCCTGCAGTTCAGCGTCTTAACCACTTGAGCCACCGCAGCTCCAGCTGCAAACCTACTTTAGATTTATTGACGCTCACCACAGAAACTCTGGCTGGAATAACTCCATCAGCGTTGGGCTGGATCCCAGGGCACTGTTCTGCTAACAGCAGCGCTTCTCTCCGACACCGAGGCAAGAGACTGAGCGGCTACTCTCTCTGAGCTGAACCGGGGCACTGCAAACAATCTATTAGGCTAGAGTCGGCATGGCGCGGTGTGGACCAGAGCAGGAGAGAATCGGGTTCAGATCCCAGCTTAGTCATCCTGCTAAGCAGGAGATCTGGGCCAGGATGCGCTCTCTCTCAGGCTAACCTCACTCACAGGATTGCTGCAAGGACTGGAAAGAGACAACCCGGAGTACCACACAACCAATGTTCCCTCTAAGCTGAGTTAGTGTGAGCCAGCTCACAGTTTTTTAGCCTCCAGCTCACACATTTTTGTCGTAGCTCAGGAAGGATGACTCCAAGGCCAACTGACTTATGCAGTAGCCAAACTGCCTGGCTCACAACTTTAATGCCAGTAGCTCACAAAGTAGAAATTTTGGCTCACAAGACTCCAACGCTTAGAGGGAACATTGCACACAACCCAAGCTCTGTGGAAGAAGGGTGGGATATCGCTGCAAATGGACACAGGAAGCTGCCTTATACCAAACTCTACCATCGGTCCATTGAGGTCAGCATTGTCTGCTCAGATGGGCAGTGGCTGTCCAAGGTCTCAAGCAGAGGTCTTTCACAGCACCTCCTACCTGACCCTTCTAACCGAGGACTGAACCGGGGTCCTTCTGCAGGCCAAGCAGACGCTCCGCCACTGAGCCACGGCCCCTTCCCTGTGGAAAGCCCTTCTCTTACAACTGGCACACAATCACAGGTGGGGATGACAGAACTTTTTATCAGAGGTGAGATTTTATGAGATGCCACCATCCCCTAACACGTAGGCAACTGGCTACTGCTACTGGGGAAACAAAAGCATCAGAAGGGATATGGGAGGGGCTGTGGCTCAGTGGCAGAGCCTCTGCTTGGCACGCAGAAGGACCCAGGTTCAATCCCCGGCATCTCCGGCTAAAAAGGACCAGGCAGCAGGGGATGTGGAAGACCTCAGCCTGAGACCCTGGAGAGGTGTAAAGAGGGGCTGTGGCTCAGTGGCAAGGCATCTGCTTGGCATGCAGACGGCCCCAGGTTCAACCCCCAGCCTCTCCAGTAAAAAGGATCAGGCAGTAGGTGATGGGAAAGACCTCTGCCTGAGACCCTGGGGAGCTGCCGCCAGTCTGAGTAGGCAATGGACTGATTCAGTATCAGGCCGTTTCATGTGTTCATGCAATTTAATCTTCCTTGGTCACAATTGGTGCTTCCAGAGAAGAGAGAACGATTACCCTACCTGACTTCTACCTGTGAAATGATGCTCTGGAAAACCACTGATGGCCATCTGTAGACAAGAGACAGAAAACCCGAGAGACAAGTGGCTGCCTACACAGTGGGAAGAGTCCCTGCAAGTGGGTGCTACACCCACCCACCCACTACCCCTGTACCAAAATCATGGCCTTGGCCACCCTAACACACGGCTCTTGGCCTAACTAAGATACCAATAACGAATTTTGTAAATTAATGTGTTCTATTTGTTAAAGTGCATTGTGTGCTATTACAATATCCTAAAACAGGTATATATATTCATTGCATGCGATAAACAATGATAATCAGTTCACTCAGTATAATAACTACCAGTCAATGTACATCATTTTTTTCCAAAGTCAAACCCTAACGGGAGTACCTAAAATTATACACCCGCTTCTCCTTCCTTGGAAGTCTTCTAAAGGGGGAAAGCTTTCTTTTGTAGTTACATTGATGTTTGTTGCTGGTCCTACAAAAGGCACATTGAGCAGCTAAGGTTCATAGATGGGGCGCTCCTGTCTTTCTTAAGAAAGATAAAAATGTGCCTTTTGTTTATCGCATGTAATGAATATATATACCTGTTTTAGGATATTATAATAGCACACAATGCACTTTATAAGGTGGTACTTAACAGAACACATTAGTTTACAAAAAAAAGGTTTTTGCAGTGTATATATTTGTTATTTGACTCTTCTAACACTGCAGCTTGGGTTGCTACAGCTAACTAAGATACCACCATTAAGATAGAGGCAGTCTTTTTTATTGCTGAACAACAGTTATCAGAAGAACGTCAGGAAGGCATCACCCGCTGGCAAGGTAAGCATGGAAAAAAGAAGCGATCGTACGTATTTCTCTTCGAACTTCCTGGCCAGTGCCTCCACTCTGTGCCGCTCTCTTTCCTCATCGTGGAAGGGATCAGCAAGGTCTTTTTTCTGGTGGGGCGGGAGAGAGAAGGGAAACCGAATCAGAATGAAACCCGTCTTGCTGCTGCACTGAGAATCCATCTGCACCCAAAGGCTGAGAGGGACGCTCCGAGCCGCTCAGCGGACAAGCTCTGCTTTGCGCGCCAAATTTAATCAATCGCCTTTTCTCAAGAGTTGGTTTAAACCTAAGGAATTTGCCTAACCACAGCGCTCTAGCCTGCCTAGCCCTAAATATCAGGAGAGCCTCATGAGACTTGTCCTTGCGCTGCTCAGCCTCGGAGATGTCAGAGATACCATCTTATCGCAGGGCTTTCTCCCTAGCTCATTGGAGAGCACTCCCCTCTGCGGTGGTCGAGGGGAGACCCCCGCGCACGAGAATCCAGTGCTCCCTCTAGGCTGAGTGTGAGCGAGCTCACAGTTTTTTAGCCTCCGGCTCACACACTTTTGTCTTAGCTCAGGAAGGAGGGCTCCAGAGCAGACTAATTTATGCAGTAGCCAAACCGCTCGCTCACAACTTTAATGCCAGGAGCTCACAGAGTAGAATTTTTGCTCACGAGACTCCACGGCTTACGGGGAGCATTGGTTGAATCTACTGAACGTGTCTTGTATCAGTGTGGTTTCTACCAAGAAATCCGTGCAAAGTTCATCCTTCCTTTACTTAGAAAGCCACTGGACTGCCCTGTTTCTGAGACTACTAGGAAGCTCCTTACCGGTGCGAATCCACAAATCGCAGCTTCTTGTGCAAGGTTTTTTTGTGGGTGCTAGCAAAATCCATAGTTACTTTAAGCAATGGTTCTTAAACTTAATATAATATTGATTTAAATCTGAGATATTTTTTTATCAAATTCAAATTAGATCTGTATTATATGTTTATTCTTTTATGTATACGATTTATGCTGGCCTTTGGCCGTATGAATAAATCTGATCTGATAACACTGTCTGCAAGCAGCTCTGGTATCGGAAAGGGGGGAGAGAAGTGGGGCGCGTGGATCTCATCCCGCCTGTGGCCTCACGTACCTTTTCTCCCGCAGAACTACCTTTCCCTTTCCCACGCGTGTTCTTCAGCAACTCAGGGTAGAAGAATTCGGGGCAACGCTTGTGATCTGGCTCAAAAAGGGTGAGGGCGATGCGGACCGCCGCGGCAGCCGGCTCGGGTTCCTGGGGGGGTTCCGTTCCTGCGAGGTCCTCTCGGCGAGATTTTTTCAGCAGGGTGGTGCTCAGAGGGCCCGGCAGAGAGGTGAGCTGGACCCGGTGGGGCTCCGTCATGGCTACACCGATGTCACGGCTGCTCTCACGGCATGGCCATCGGCCTCACCAACAGCCGCTGGGATCTGTAGTCCTGAGGATTTCACCATTAAGTACACAGACAGGTTTCAAGTGCAGTGATCGACGCAGGCGTTAGAGCTCTTCTTTTGTTTTGGAAACACAAGGATCCCTGGTTTTGTCGAACAATCCCATAGCAGCTGTTCACGCGTTACTGCACGCTCCCGAATGTGACGGCCTTAATACAGTACAGAAAACGGGGCAGACAGGGAAAGAAACAAAACTCAAAGAACTTTCTGGACAGAGTGGCTTTTGCAGAGCTGGTTCCCGCGTGACCTTGGCCACAAAGGTCAGTCTGGGCTACGTCAACTCGCCTTCGAGCACTTCCCATACCGGGGCTCAGCATGATGCGAAGGACCTGGAACGCATTTGTTCAGGCCGCCCGCTAGCCACAGATGCATGGCTTTTTGCGTCCAAATCAATCCAGTTCACTGCCCGGAGGCCGCGGGTCTTGAAACATACTTCCAAAGGCACTCCTTCATGTTCTTACCTAGAAAAGGAAACCAGATGATTTCAGCTACTGAAAAGCAGGACAAACCACAGATGTCTCCCCCCCCCCAGACCACCACCATTCGAACACAGACTATAACTCGGTAGTCTTCCAGTTAACAAACCCTGATCGGCAGAGGTGGAAATAGTAACTGTGTGCCTATGAAAAGCCAACATAGACGGGAATGAAACCTCCATGTTCTGGAGTAGTACATCTGCTGTCATTAGCTGAAGGGGGAGGGGAAGCAACAGGAAATTAATACTGCTGTTGTGGTGTTTTTGAGTACTGGCCAGGGCAGTTAGCCAGACAGAAGTGGAATCAGGAATCTCTGTTCTTGACCCAGAAAAGGAACTCTTATCTGTGCAGCTAGCAATAAACGACACACAGGGTACAGGGCAATCCGGGGCTGCCTTAATAACTGACAGACTTTAAATAAGGAAAGCTTTATATATGCCTATGTAGCATCTAAACTGTGCATCGCACCAACAGAAAACGATTTAGATGCCAGAAGTTCCACTCCCTAGAGAAAGATCTGAAAGAATGAATCCTTTAGTCCCGTTGACAAGAGAGATTTACAGCGTAAAATCTCGCCCAGACAAAATATTTGCAATGGGGACTTTGCCCCGAACAATGGTGCTCCAAACAGACAGAGCAAACACAAGCCCCCTTGTTTTTCCCAGGCACGGAAAGTGAAAAAGGAGACAAACATCATACCTGGGAGAATACATTATTGGTACGCACCATTTCCTTGGGGTTACCTACTTCAGAGCAATTAACCCCTGCGGAACAAGGCTGGAGCTCGGGTGTCGGAAGAAGACGTTTGAACCCGTTAAAGCAAAATCTGCTTCAAGGCACTAACCTGACAATCGGAAACACTCGGGAGGTGCTGCTACGTGCAACAGACAGGCACAGGATCCCGTCCAATGCTCCCTCTAAGATGTGGAGACTTGTGAGCCAAAATTCTACTTTGGGAGCTACTGGAATTACAGTTGTGAGCGAGTGGTTTGGCTCCTGCATAAATTAGTTTGCTCTGAAGCCATCCTCCCTGAGCTAAGACAAAAATCTGTGAGCTGGAGGCTAAAAAACTGTGAGCCAGCTCACACTAACTCAGCTTAGAGGGGATACTGATCCCATCCCAAGCACAATACAGTCTTGGAAAACAATTATGATTGTAACAGAAAAACAGTATTCATGGAAGGTCTAGATGTCCTACAGATGCAAGGCCTTACAGAAAATAATTTCTCTCGGTAGACAACTCAAAAATCTCTTCTATACTTCTGCCTGTCACATGGCCAGTACCCGCAATAGTAGATGGGGGAACCTACCTCACTGGGCTGTTGTGAGGATAAGGACTTATATAACGCTTTGCATGCTGGAAAGCTTGAAAACTATAAATCTTATTAGCAAGAGATCTCCACACACACACCCATCATCACCACCTTTTCACAGCAAGGTCAGCTTGAAATCCAGTTGCCTGAGAAAGCTGCAGAAGTGGAGGTTTGTGGGAGGCAACAGTGGGAGGGCTTCTAGCGCCCTGGCCCCACTGGTGGACCGCCTGATGGGACTTGGTATTTTTGGCCACTGTGTGACAGAGTATTGGATTGGATGGGCCATTGGCCTGATCCAACATTGGCTTCTCTTATGTTCTTATGAGAGCTCAGAGTGAGCCAGAAAGCCATTCAAACCTAACCTCAGCCTTCTATCTGCCATACAAAGGTAAGGAACACTGGCTTCCAAAGCCTTGCCCTTTAAAGACAACCAACCCAGAACATACAAAACACTCTGAATGCTTGAACGGCGTGTACTCAAGCTATGAAAGTTTAAAAGAATTGCCTCGCTGGATCCGAACAAAGCCCTGCTGGCCCAACATTCTCTTCCAGCCAGATCTCTCTGGGAGTTTACAAGCAAGATATGAATCCAATGGCCTTGGCCTTGTTGTGTGCCCCACCCGGTGAGGACAGATAGACTTCCTTTTTAAATGGAAGCTCAATTTAGCTAATCCCCTCTTTCAGTTTCCAACTCCCATTCAACTACAATCTTCTTCAACGTTAGCTCGCCCCTTTCACGTTGCTTCAATTGCAGCCCCTTTCTGAAAAATAAGCTACGTTGAGAACTTTGGCGTTAAAGGCAGGAGAATATACAGACGACAACAAATAAATATGAAGACCGTTCCTCCACAAGTGTATTCTGTAAGAACATGAAATGAATTCCTGTGATCTGAAACCCCCATCTCTCTAACCATAGATGCATGGAGGGCGTGAAGAAACTAACCAGAGATATATAGGGGCCCATCCTCTCCCCCCCCCTTACCACCTATATATCTCTGGCCAGTTTCTTCACACCCTCCGTGCATCTGACGAAAAGAGCTGTGTTTCTCCAAAGCTTACGCTACAATAAAGTTTGTTAGTCTTAAAGAGCTTTTTACTGTCTCTCTAACCAGACTCAATAAAACACCCTGCCCCCAGCTGTGATCACCACAGCACTGTCCAAGAAACTCTTTACAGGTCAGAGTCCTCCTGCATACTCTACCCTCAGCTCCCTGATACCTCTGTACAATATTTCTGCATGTAGAAGAGCCATTAAAGGCCGATGAAGAATGTGCCATTGAATGGCAACTGACTCACAGCAACCCCATTCACGGGGCGCCCCAGGCAGGAGACAAGCAGAGGCGGTTTTGCCATTCCCTTCCTCTGCACAGCAACCCCAGTCTTCCCACCCAAAGACTAACCAGGGCCGACCCTGCTTAGCTTCCAAGATCTGACAAGATAAGCTAAGTCAGGTCAGTCACAGGTTGGCCACTGTATGAGACAGGGTGCTGGACGAGATGGACCAATGGTCTGATGCAAGAAGACTCTTCTTATAAAGGCCTTGGCCTCTGTGCCCTGTTGTTGGCCCTCCAGAGGAACTGGTTGGCCATCGTGTGAGACAAGATGCTGGACTAGATGGGCCACTGGTCTGATCCAGCAGGGCTCTCCTGATGTTCTTCTCAGGGGAAGGCCTCAGCCTCTATGCCCTGTCGTTGGCCCTCCAGAAGAACTGGTTGGCCACTGTGTGAGACGGGATGCTGGACTAGATGGACCACTAGTCTGATCCAGCAGGGCTCTTCTTATGCTCTTATGAGACTCTTACCTGTACAATCCATGGCCAACCTGGTTACGTCTGTTGTACAAATAGATTCCCAAGCCAAAAAGGAAGCCACAACGAGGATGAAAGTTCATTGGTTATTTAATTGCAATCAAATAACTGAAAACAGTCAGGCCAAACCAGCCTATCAAAAACTGACTGCTTTCTGAGCGATATCAGGAAGTACATGAAATGTTATACCCTACGTGACATAGGCAAAAAGAGACCATCCAGAAATCATAATTGGTCACAAAACGACAGAGAATCATCTGAGTAGTCTTTCATTCATTGGTCAGTTACAAGAAAAGGTGTGCCTTCATGCTATCTTAAATGTTTATTCAACCTAACCCTATTAATAATACCCAAGGACGCGTCATACCCAAACAGGTGTTGTTTCTGATATGAAACTAAAGCCCTTGTTGACCCAATAATCTAGCAGTACATTATAAATTAACATTGATTCAATATGAGCTTTTGTGGGTCACACGACCAGTGTTCCCTCTAAGCTGAGTTAGTGTGAGCTAGCTCACAGTTTTTTAGCCTCCAGCACACACATTTTTGTCTCAGCTCAGGAAGGAGGGCTCCAGAGCAAACTGATTGATGCAGTCCCCAAATCGCTCGCTCACAACTTTAATGCCAGTAGCTCACAAAGTGGAATTTTTGCTCACGGGACTCCACAGCTTAGAGGGAACATTGCACACGACCCAGTCTGTCAGATAGATGCATGATAAAAGGAATCATACTGGCAACTTTTTTTATAGTGCAGAGTGGAAAGCTTTGTGTGAACTGCACGGTGAGCCTCAGCAACCTGGTATGCCACTCCTGTACATAAATGTACACCCCGCCACCCTCTTTCCCCATTTAACTAGGTTTTGAGATTTTTATTCCAGTTTTGTCTGAAGAAATGTGTTTTGCACACAAAAGCTTACACTTCGAATAAAACTCTGTTGGTCTCAAAGGTGCCACTGGGCTCAAACTTCGTTCAGCTGTACATAAACGGTCACTGATATCGGTCAGAATCCAGGTACCTCTTCGGTCACTTCCTGCACTCCTGCTGCGGCCCTCCAGACTCCCTTTCAGAAGCTCCTCATGAGCCAGACTCCTGCCCTGCTGCTCTAAGGACCCGGTATACTGCTCCTGCAACTGGAGGCTCCACTCAGAACTGACAGAAAAAATGTCATTTTCCGTCAGCTCTGCTCCCATATGGCCAGATATACAGCTCCTGCAACTGGAGGCTCCACTCAGAACTGACAGAAAAAATGTCATTTTCCGTCAGCTCTGCTCCCATATGGCCAGATATACAGCTCCTGCAACTGGAGGCTCCACTCAGGGCTGACGGAAAACGTCATTTTCTGCCAGCTCTGCCGCCATATGGGCAGATATACGGCTCCTGCAACTGGAGGCTCCACTCAGGGCTGACGAAAAACGTCATTTTCTGCCAGGTCTGCCACCATATGGCCAGATATACGGCTCCTGCAACTGGAGGCTCCACTCAGGGCTGACGGAAAACGTCATTTTCTGCCAGGTCTGCCACCATATGGCCAGATATACGGCTCCTGCAACTGGAGGCTCCACTCAGGGCTGACGGAAAACGTCATTTTCTGCCAGGTCTGCCACCATATGGCCAGATATACGGCTCCTGCAACTGGAGGCTCCACTCAGGGCTGACAGAAAACGTCATTTCCTGTCAGCCCTGCCCCCACATGGCCCACAGATACACTGCTCCTGCAACTGGAGACTCCACTCCGGGCTGATGTAACGTCACTTCCTGTCAGCTCTGCCCCCATATGGCAGATACACTGCCCCTATCGACTGAGGCTCCACGAAACCACTTCACGTCTTCCATTCCAGGTACCCTTTGGTTACTGTTGGTAGTTTAAAGCTTTCCAGCCCGACCCACCACTCCCCGAACCTCACGGGCTCCATTTAGAGGAAGGCAAAACAAAAGACCCGAATCCGAACCTTAGCCTCTCCTGCGAGGGGAAGAGAAGCCCCGGGAACAGGGGACGGGGCAGGCCGGGGTTGAGGGGATAAGAAAGGGCGGGTGTTTGCGCTCATCCGGCGAGGCAGGCCCCGTTGCCCCTGGTTACCGGGGAGGCGCCCAGCAGCGCCTTCGGGGAAGAATTGTCCCTCCTGCCGCCCCCTACCCGAGCCCCAGGCCGCCACTCACCGGCCGTTCGCGTTCCCTCCCGACAGCGCCGTCTCGCTTCGCGCCAACACTCCGGCGCTGACCGACAGCCGCCGAGAGTCCGAGTCTCCCCTTTTTCTCTTTCTCGCGCTCCCCCGTCACGTGAAGGGGGACACGGCGGGGGGGGGACCCGACGCGGATGGCGCGCGAGAAGGGAGCCTTGGCCCACGTCACGTGACGACGACGACGGATGCCGTGAGGGGCCATGGCGGCCGTCCCAGTTTGGGTTGTTTCACGTGACGCGGGGGGCGACTAATCGGGTGCGGGGCGCCGGCTTCGTCGCCTCAGAGGGAGAGGGGGGGGAGATATTTATTTATCCAATTTCTACGCCGCCCTCCCCTGCGAGAAGGTCTCAGGGCGGCTTACAACAAAATATTATTTTTTTGTGGGGGGGATTGTAACGTCTTGAGGGAACCGTTAAAAAAAAACCCCACACTAACGCGGAGGACCGCCAGCGCCCGAGAAGCCGTTCGCTTGACGGGGGGGGAAACCAGGGTCGTGTCACGTGGCTGGGAAAAGCCCGGCCAATCGGCGCTCGCTCTCTCCCGCCCACGTGCCGAAGGACGGCCCAATCAGCGAACGCGCTCCCTTCCCCCCCTCACGGCGAAGCGAGCGTCGGAGTGCTTTCGCCATCACGTGCCCTCCCCAAAGAAGGCGGAGCGACGAAGCGGCCCGTCCAATCGATGCGCCCCGTCGTTCTCTCTCTCTCTCCCTCAACCCTCGTCCCTTCTCTGTCACGGTCGCCGA